ATTTAACGTAAAAATTATGAGATTTCACTTAAGTAGCGAAAAGAGCATGAAAATTCGCACGTAGTAAATAACCGGCAACCAATGAATAAATTGTCAAATATTTCTTTTTAACAAATATGAAATATTAAAATCTTCATGCGAATTGAAAGATCTTATTTTACTATATAAAAACATGAAATATGGCCATGTAAATATGATATAAAAGTATACTTAGAATTTGAATCAATGATGGCATTTGGTAGTCCTTGGATGCAACAGAATGTTGTGGAAGATGACCAGATTTCAAGCGCAATGGATCGCAGTAAGAATTTTTAAATTTTTTATCATAACATGTTTATCAATTATTTAAAAAACTGTGATAAAACCATTAAATATGTGCAGCATCTGGGTATTAAATTCAAAATTATTAGTTAAAAATCAGTGAAATGGTGCAAAAGAGGTGCTAGAAGTTAATATTTAGCGAACCATTTGATAATATAAATATGAATAGTAAATATCTTCTTCTAACAGCTCTCACCATTACTGGTTAGGCTGGCTCCAACGGTTACAACAGTAAGACTTCCAAGCGGCGCGGTCTGATACTATTGTCGACAATAATAGAAGCCATTCGTTTTTCCATCGTCTAAGTCCATATATTGCTGGTCCACCTATACGTTCAAAACCTTTCCTGACCGTATCAAGTCTTGATTGGCCTCCCTCGTTTTTGACGCCAACTGTCACACGGTTTAGGAAATAACGAAATATGCGTCAACTCCTGTGGTGGATCACGGAGAATGTGTCCTAACCAGCGAAGGCGGCGCTCTATGATAACATTATTTATGCAAGTGGTATTTGAACGAAGATGGATGCGATCTTGTGATATCTTATCCTCTCGACGGATCCGTAATATACCTTAGGCAAGAGTGGTCAAAGGCAGATAACTTCTAAAATCATGCACTCTCATTGGCCATGTCTCAGAACCATACAGTAAGATCGAACGGATCATGGCAATATAGATGCGGACTTTCGTTTTTATGGTGACTCCATAAAGGTTTCGTCAACCGGAAGAACGCTTTTCTAGCTGCCGTGATCCGAGTTGTAATATCATCTTTTGCCTGTCCATTCGGTATTAAAGTGGACCCAAGGTATTTGAAATCCGGCACTTCCTCAACCGGCAATGAATTTACAAAAAGAGGCATTTTATCAGCTTCTTGCACATATGGCGAAAAGTCTTTCGTTTTATTTACATTGATCCTGAGTCCAATTCTCCCTGCAGTTTCTGACATTATTTAGTATTATTTGCATTTCGTTATAATTGTCAGCAAAAAGGACTACATCATCAGCGTATTCAAGATCTGTGATACGATGCTCTGGACTAATTCGGACACCTCTTGAGTGCCGACAAGCAGTGTCCATTATCCAGTCTATTGCATAGTTGAATATTGTGGGGGGAAGGACGCATCCCTGATACCTGTTTTTATTTCGAAGGAATCTGTCAGCTTCCCATATACCTGCGACGACGTGAGCTCATAAAATGCCTTTATGAGTCTAATGATTTTCTCTGGAAAACCGTCACGTTCCATCACCCTCCAAAGCGCCGCTCTATCAATTGAATCAAAGGCAGCCGCAAAGTCGATGAAACACGTGACAGTGGGTTGCAATGTTCCAACACCTTTCTTAGCGTGAATATCTGGTCAGCACAACCGCACTGCTGTTCTGAATCCAGCTTGATTAAGGCGCATCTTGTTGTCCAGTAGTGCCATAAGTTTACTGAGTAAAAAGGAAGCAAAAATTTTCGCTGAGACGTCTATTAGGCTGATTCTTCGATAATTATCGCAGTATGTCCCATCATCTTTCCTGAGAATTGGGAGCAGAATTGCTTTGCTCCAGTCACCTGGTAATATTTCTTTTTTCCATACTAGAGGGAAGGTGCGTTATGAAGGACGATGGACAACATTTGAAAAGCTCAGTCCGAAGACCATCTTCTCCTGGAGTTTTGTTGGCCTTAAGCTTATGGATAATTGAAATTATTTCTTCTTCTGTTGGAGGCTCGCAATTGCAAGCGTATGCTTCGGCAAACGTATCATCTATATCAGGGACAACAGATGGCGCTTCATGGTTAATTTGGCCTCAAAGAATTGTTTCCATCTTATGAGGCGATCTTTAATACTTTTGATTAGTACGCCATTGCTGTCTCTTACCATTTCAATGATCGTTCCCCGAGTCATAGTTGCTTTATGAAGAAGGCAGAATAGTTTCCTATAGTCGCCTAATCGAGCCGCCGCTTCCATTCTTGAGACCATGTCACTCCAATAGTCCAATAGTGATTTCTGTACTGCTGCTTCCGTCTTGCAAATCTTCGAAGCACCCGGTAGTCAAGATCACCTGCTTTGGCAGCTTTTTCAAACAATTGGACAGTTGCTTCCGATACCCAACTAGCGCACTTTCCACTAGTATGCCCTAGCGTGGAAGTGGCTGATTTTCGGAGACATTCCTTTAGTTTGGACCAGTATTGATTTGCCGTTCCAGAAAAATCATTGATAATTGTATCATTGAGATGCTTTTAATTCAATGTTTGAAATGCGCTCACTGTCCTCGAATTTTTTAGTTTGAAATAGTTGAAGGAACTTGGGGGATGCTGTTTTCTGCGAGTTGTCAATTTTATGCGGATCTTGCCTCGAACCATAACATGGTCAGATCCATGAAGATTGCTCGTTTCAGCTCAGCGATAGGAACGACTATCTAGTACGGAACTCTTCCAACGGCGACTGACTAAGATATAATCAATCTGGTTGAAGTATTGGTTGTCCGAGAAGTTCCACGTAACTAGATGTTTTCTATGATGCCGGATATTAGTAACAAAAAGTTCATAGTTCATGCTCTTCGGCATAACGAAGACGATGTTCCCCATTGGCACAACGGTCCCCGATGCCATATTTGCCAATTGTTGAGGTCATCGCGGCTGTATTATGACTTACGTGAGCATTCCAGTTTTCCCTGATTATGATCATGTCATGTTTCGGTAGAGACTTTGTTAGCAGTTGAAGTTCCGCACAGAACTTGTCTTTATCACGGTCATCTGCCGACAGCGTTGGAGCATAGACACTGACCGAGATATTGCAGAACTTACCCTTAAAACGGGCATAGACCATACGGTCGTTTACCGGTTTCCACTCAATCAAAGCAGAATAGGCCTTGTCAGACATAACAATCGCTAGGCCATTTCGTCCCGAGTTATTCGAAGCATCACGGTGATATAGCCAGTATCTCTGCTCTGAACCAGGATTAATAATTGCTCGAGATCCAAAGTGAGGAAGGCAGACCTCCGATAAGTAAACGATATCCACACTGTACTTCGACAGAGTGTGGACAGTGATCGCTTGGCTTGTAATGTCCATAAACATTCTGACGTTCCACGCTGATACGGCTAACACCTCGCCGCGCATGCAGAGGGCTGTTCCCCTTGATAGGTTTCAATTACCCTGGCTTGAAAGCACATTTTATTTACCAACCTTGGGATCGTTTTAAGCTCGGATTGTAAACTTATAGCATATACCACCGGGCTCGAAGTATCATGCGCGTCGGGAGACGCAGACACCGTATCAAGTGTATCTGACCCTTTCACCATAGAGTCACTTGGGGATAGAGTTGCAGGTGGGTCCCCAGCAGCCACCCGGATTTTTGACATAATAGCAGGTTTAGTCCTATCAAAGGCGAAGAAAAAAATTAAATTTGAAAAAAATAAAATGGACAAAGAAATTTAAAAAAATATATATATATGACTATATGTATACATATGAAATATATATATTATTTATACAATTTAATTGATTTGATTTAATTTTAATTTATTAATTTAATTTAATTTATTTTATCGTAATTTTAATCTTTGTTTGGTAAAAAAAATTAAAAGTTTAAGAGGACTTAGCTGAATTGTAATCAGAAATGAAAAATAAATTCACAAAAATAAATCGAGATTATTTTTTGAAATGACCGCTCAACAAAAATTTTTTCAGTCAGTAAATATACGAAAATAAAATACATTTTGAGGAGCTGGTGCAACCTTTCATATTTAAGTACCTCAGGGCTGAGTTCATTTCCCAACAATTTTCAGCTATGCAGTATCCAAATTATGGGTATCTATCGTAAGCATTCAAGACGTATACATATCAATCAGCATCAGCGTTACCTTCACTTTGCATATTACCTTGAATATGCTGACGATATATTTAATCCTTTTTACTGATAGACGATATACTGTTTAGTGTCTGCAGATTTACAGCAGGCACCAGGCACTAAACAGTATATCGACAATTGCAGCAAAAATCGGATTTCAAATTAGTGACATGTTAGAGGTTGAAAAAAATTTATTTTCCACTGTCAAACCAAATGTCCGAGCGAAACTTCAGCCTAATTAGTTACAGAAATGCCGCTTTTCACTTAGTGTAACTATTGTTGTGTCACTGCGGAATCACGATCAAGACCAAAGTTTGCTTTTATCTCGCTTAAGTGCGTACTATCCTATACAATTGAGAAACAAGAAACAGGTAGATAGTGGAAGGTACCACTTCTATCTAAGGTATTCCAATTTCCCGCAACGCGGAATGATTAAATTATATGGTTAAATCCATCGCAAATTCCATAAGCACTGATGGTATATGGTCACAAAGGACCATCCAGTAATCCACTTTCTTTCTCATATACACAGGTATCGATGCATATCTCATTATATACAAAGCACTGAATCGATATTATATATTTCGACGGTGGCGAAAGACGTGGCTTCTATTATTTTCAGCTATGGTATTTGATCCAGGGGTTTGGAAACGCCCCACTTTGGTAGCCAATGGAAGGAGCCAAATCATAAATGGTGCTTGTTATTAAACGAATAAGGAATAACAAGAATTAAAGCATCTAACCAAATCATAAAAAATTTCATAATTTTCTTTCTCTTGATTTCTTTTAGTAGTTTTCATTGATATTAAAAAATATATACTATGGGAATATTTTCAGTGCGGCAAATGTTCAAGGAAAGAGCTGAAAATGCGATGTATGATATGATAGAAAAATCAGACTGGATGCTTCATGTTATTACTGGACTTAAACTGATGGGAAATTTGACAGCATCTGTGAAATATGGCAGTGAGTTTTTTGTCTCTCTCAAGACAACAGTAGCTTCGCCCACAGTCGTCGAAATCAGCCGAGTTTGGGCCAAATCACATTTTTAACCAACCCATACTTATGTTTTAGTATCTTCTAGCATTTGCTGTTTTTCTATTCTTCTTTTCAAATATTCACACACATTTTATTTATTAGGAGAAAAATTTGTTTTTTATTTTCCAGATAACATATTATTATACTTTTTTTAGAGTATGGTTACCATTCTGTGATCCACAATGAAACTATGGTTGGTGTATTGTCTTCTGGAGGATGGAGCGGAAACTCATGAATTGATGAAATAGGTTCAGATCCACCACTCTATCTGATTTTTAATATTTATTTGCAAAAACTTTTGGGGATAATCTTCTTTGAATACCTCAAATCGCTTTCTGTAGCTCACATTCAAAAAACTACTTTCCATCCTCCCAGACATGAATGGTATTAATTTAATTTTTCTTTATAAAAATTTATTTTCATGAAACTTTAAGCTTTATCTATTATGATTACTTTTCTCGTTGTGAATTTATAAAATAAAATTTTTTATCGAAAAGTTTATTTTCCTGACAATTTAGCGAAAAGTTGGTACGAATATGCTTTATAATTCAAACTCGCGGATTTATGTTAGAAATATAGGTGCAGTATAAAACCACAGAAAAAAGGATCATGACTAATAATTAAATTAAATTAAATTAAGGATCATGACTAATAATTAAATTGCATCAAACGTAAAAATACATCAAGTATGACCAAAAATCTTTGAACACGAGTAATAAAAATCGAATAAATTTCGAATCAATTTTCAAGGAACCAATTTTCGGACAGCTGATAAAAACAGGATTCAAATTCGCTGCCTACATTTGCCAACTTACTAATTCGATAAATTACTTCAAAATTTCAATTTCAAATTAGTAATTAATGAGCAAAATTAAAAACCATATCGAAAACGTATAATGCAAGACCTAATAGAGATTCAATTCAAAAGTAAAAATAAAAACTTTCATATTCTTGAAAATATTACAAATAATTTAGTACCAGTTAAAAATAAAATTGGGCAATAAAACAAAAAATAAAGAAGATAAGTCACTTGACCATTTCAAATGAATATAAAATGGATAATGGCTAAATCAATGAATCCTATCCATATATTTTTTTAAAGACCTTTAGAGAATGAACCAGAAGAACAAGTTCTGTAGAAAAATGATCCATCATTCCCAAAATAATGCAAAATCAAGTTTCGGGACGAAAAATAAACAACTGGGCTCATCGATTTTTTTACGATTTTAATAGAATATTAGAGAGTAAAAAGAAAACCAAATTTTTTGCAATTTAAAAAAAATTTTTTAACTTTAAAAAGTTTTCGCATAACATTAAGCATTTGTCAAAAGCTTAAAGGTCCATAACCAAAAAACGATGTTCGATTAGTTTAAAGCATAGTATGAGGCAAAATACTTAAAGGCAAAACAATAAAATTAAGAATCATAAAAATAAGAGGAGCTTGCATAAATGTAATAAAATGAAAAAAAAACTAAGGCATCATTCTTTGAATCAAATCGATATCAATATTAAAGTGACAGAAGGACAACCAAATAAAAGTTTAGATTTTGGAATCATTTATCTGAAAAACGTAAAATCTAAATTTCAGATGTAAAACTATTCAAGCGCCTTGTTCGATTTTACGTGAAAAATTTGGCTAACGAAAAATCTGATAGTATTATTTTTCAGAAAAATCTATGAACCCACAAACTTCGAAATAGAAAAGATACTTGATTTTTCGGTGGATTTTAACAATTTAGCTGTTTCTTTATCGTCACTGGCTCGCATGCGAAAACGACGTCTTGAATCGCTACCACCTTTTTCTAGTTGATGAAACTTGTTGGCTTCAGTCTGTAAATCCTGGAGATCTGAGGTGCTCAGGATATCTAGAAATTTTATTGAACAGTAAGCAAATGAAAACAAGAAATTTTTCAGTTATTCCCAATTCAATATCAAATAATTGTAACAAATTCGAAAGAAATAATTGCGAAGAAAAGGATCTAAAGGATATATAAAGGATCGAAAGATAATTCAAATCCATTCAGAAAAAAATTTAGTAATTTAAATTGAAGAAACATATGGAAATTATAATACTAAGGGGTGGAGGCCATATAGTTGCTCCAGCTGGGAAAGAACTCGTCCTGCGAAGTTTATGTTCAATACCAAAATAAGATTTCCAGAGCGATACAATTACATCAGTAGCAAATATTACACCAGAATGAAGGGAAAGCATGCGGAGGACGAAGATACCGTCACTTTTGAGATAATTCCCCACGAAACGTTCAATATCTTTCTTACTTTCTGAAAAAAAAAAAGTTGAAAAAAATTAAATTTCCGCATAGATCTCCATTTATTAATGGAGGTATAGAAAAATATCGAATTATTCAAAATATTTGCGAAAGAAATATACCTGAAGAATCGAAAGGTAGTTCGCTCATTTCTAAATGACGATTAATAAATCGACGATTAGGGTAAGGTAAAATAGCAATCATAATCCAATATAGTAAACTACATGTAGTAAAAATAATCAATAATAAAAACCTAAACACAAAAACATAAAAAAGAAACCAAAAAAATTTAAGAGAAAATTAAATTCGAAGTTCTCATAAATAAATATTTTTCATAAATATATGAATCTCATAAATATTTTTGCAAAAGAAATGATTTCTTTCTTTAGAGGTTTTAAATATACTTTATTAAGAATTACATATTATCTCTGGATTTTAATAATCAGCTTAAAGAAAGGAAAGGAAATGAGTTAATGCAATTTTCACATAAGTTTAAATGAATACAATTTATGAGAAATACTAAAATTTTTTTTAAAGCCCTTGCTTGAAAATGTGAATAAACCACGAGTAACTGAAAAGAAAAATCTTGATGGCAAAAATGATGAGGAATGTGAAAATCGAGAAAAACATACCAGAACCATAAAAATATGAATATTTTTTCATTAAATATGTTAATTACCAAAACACATTGAATAGTATGTTCTTGCGTATTCCCCATACCTCTGACCTTCAATATAATAATAAAACCAGAAAGAACAATGGAAAAAAATTCAGCAATATCAAAAAAGAAACATGGAAAAAAGGAATAAAATGTACTTATCTTAAAAAAATTTGTTCAGATGTATTACCATCGAACATACAAATATGACTATAAATTACCTATTTAGTGTCACGTTCATTTTCATTCCTTCCTGCAAAGATAAACCGAGACAAGCTAAAATTTTTAAATTCCTTTCCTCTGAAGAATTTAATCACCTCAAAATCACAAAGCGATACACGGGGAAATACGCCTGATTGCTCCCATGTTGTACCATTTAGCAAATCCATTACAGCTCCAAAGCCATACATATAATATTTATCAGTTTCAAGAAATCTAAAAATTTCGATTATGTTTTTTAGGAAAAACTGAATGCTTTTAAAAACGCAAAAAAATGTAAAACCGAAAGAAAATCCAAACAAATTACTTGTTCATGATGAAAAGTTGAATACAAGCGTTAATCAAATAAAAGAATTTCGTGAATATATACAATGATGTTACGAAAAAAGCAGTATATGAAATATTAAATAAGCGTAAAAACCTATGCGGACGAATCTGTTTTTTTCTAAGCCGTTGATGAAACCTCAATGCACCCTGCAAAGCAAAAAAAAAAATAATACTTTTTAAAAATGATACGAAATGATATATAAATATACATATCATAAAGAAACAAGAAAAAATGAAGCCCAAGGACATATCAGAAATATCAACCGAATTTTCGAAATAAATTTTACTTTTTAGGCATTATAACTTGAGAAAGACAAACTTGCAAATGAACTGTGAGCGATTCAATGTTAGCTTTCTTTATTTCTGGTTTAATGTTGTTAAAATCGGAGGCAAGCTTGATCACTTCACGAAGTTTAATACCTAGAAAAGGAAAAAAAAACGTATAAAAGACGTGTTAAGGATAAAAAAAAAAATGAAAATGTGGTATATGCAATGTGGTTATTCTCAAAATGTTAAGAAAAGCTGTGGTAGTAGATTATAAATGTGGGACTGAACTACATGCACACATTAAAAATGACATAAAAGTGGAAAAAAGTAAGAAATAACCTTATATGCATACTATGAAATATTAGAAAATAAATGAGTGATACCTGAATAATCCGATAAATACTTCCAAATCAAATTGGGCAATCTGAAACACGCAGCTTCGAAAAGCAGAAAAAAAGGTACCCATTGATAATAAGATATCTGCCTTTGGCGTTTTTCATTATGAGCCATTCCAGCGACCACTCTATTCGCTGGTACATAATAGGTGTCTTGGGCCCAACAATAATTTTCAACATACTGAAAACCTGGCAAAAATTCTCAGAGTAGGTCTATCATTTTTCTTCTAAAAATTTTTTCTTACAATATTTAAAATAAATGGCTAATATAGGTTATGCTTAAAAGCAAGTTTTTGTCAGCATTAAGCAAAAAAAATTAAAAATATTTCTTAAACTCTCTGAACGAAAAATTTATAATTTTAACAAAAGTAAATTTAGAAGATAACATTTACTTTTATTTACGCAAAATTTTATCAGTATTAAAGTCAAAAATAGAACTGATTTAAAAATACACTGCAAACTGACCTGTTCCCAAGTTCCACTAAAAATATCTGGTACGAGGCACTCAATCGGTTTTCCTCCAAATTGCTAAAAAATTAATTTTTTTTAGAAATCTTAAAATGACGAGATAAATAACTTTATTAATTATTAATTAGAAATCTTGGCGATAAAAATCATTTATAAGGAAAATCAGACAAAAAATGGCAAAGAAGATATATTTTCGAACAACCAGACATTTAAAAAAAATATTTCAAGAAATTTAAATAATAACAGTAAAAATGAAATTTACTTTAAAGCTGACAATCAACGATAGAGCAATTAAAATATTTACAGTGATATAGCAATGCATCCGGTCAACAAAATCTCGATCATCAATTTCGCTAACATAGCGAAGCATAGATAAAATTGTCACTATCATCTTTTATAAGATTATGTGAATAGTTCCAGATAACTGATAGGCATAAAGCTTATTTAAAAATCCTTCAGTTCATCAAATAAAATCCAATCTCAGATTCATTAAAATCAAATAAAAAGATGAAGACTCTTTTAAAATTGAGAAACAAAATATGAAATAAATTTATGTTAAAAGCCGATTATTTCAGAATACAGATTCGCAGTGAGACGGTAAAACCGAAGGTGCAAAATTAAGTGAAAGTAAAAGGTGAAAAACAATTTCTTCTGCCCTAAAAATCGCCTAAGAACTTTGAAGCTCGAACCATAGTACAATTTATACGCACTGTTATAACTGCAAATTTCTAGAAAAAATGTCAAATATCAAATCTAACGAAATACTACAATATATAGAAGAGCAAAAGCTTAAAATTCCATACATCTCATAAATTTCAATTTTGTCTCATCCGGTAATATATCGAAAAATTGTAAAAAATTTTGTTTAAAAAACAGCCAACGTAAATCAGCAAGGTTTTTCCGATGCGATACGGCAACTCATCAATAAGTTAAAATTGATAAGAAAAACAACAATATCTTAATTGAATAATCAAAATATATAGTATGAGCAGCAGTAATGATAAAAGAATGAAAACATCCTTATCGACTTATCAGAACCATTCAACAGAGCTTTAATTCGGCATATTGCTAGTATCGCTATAAGAAAATTTCTTGATTTACCGAAATGGCACACTGATCTTAACCTGACTGTTCGAACATCTGATTGTGATCAGAACTTGTGAATTTTAACCCAACGATTTGACCGAATGAATCTAAGCCAGATGAACTTCGATATAATAAGCAACTTTCAATGACACAGTGAACCCTAATTAATCATCCCCACCACCACAACCCACAAAATCCGTAAACCCCAACCGTTTAACTAGAAAAAGAAACCAAACAGACTCAAAAGACAGCTGATCCGGCCGCAGTGGCGGGAATTCAAATTCGAATGTAAGCACGGATCTGCTTATCTTCGTAATATGGATGAATAAAAGAAGAGAGAGGACATAATAGGGAAGAAGGAATATAGAGAAAAAGGGAAGTGGAACGGAGGGGAAATGGAGTTAGGATAAAGAAGATTAAATGGAAAGGCAGAGAGAGGAAAAAAGAATGAAAAAACTTTGAATGAAAAAAGAATGAAAAAAGAATGAAATAAAGTCGAAATCAAATTTAGGAAATGAAAATCTCGCTGCTTGTCTGCCAAGTCCTGTGATAAAATCCTGTGATAATTTTATTCCAGCAGTATATGGGCTTTGACAGTGGCTTTTATTAGTTTCAGGTGTGGCATCAAATCGAGCGGCTTACCCTAGCCCATCAGCTGTTAGAAAAAAGAGGGAACTGACTTTAAATCCGATTCCTTTAGAATAGGCTTGCCATTAAAATGAAATCCTCACTATTTTCAGGATTCACCTACGTTCCAGGAATGGTGGGCGCTATTTGAAGAAGAACTAGTGTACAATACTGCAGAACAACAAGCCTGTGAAAATTCATCTCTGATGAAAGCCTAATTCAAAAATTCAATTAAATACCTACAAATTTTGGTCTTTTAAATTTCCTGAACGCTTCATCGAACTTCTCTTTATGCATTAATATTGCCATTTCAGTTGGTTGTTTGAAGACTTATTTTTTCAAGCGAAATTAGCTGTTCAGGTTACTTTACCCCTATTTCAAACCAAACATTTCTGTTGATTCTTTTTTTTTTTCTTTTTATTGAGAGCCATCTGTGTTAATCGTATGCTTCATCGAAGTGCTCACCTTATGTACGAAAATTGCCCTTCGAATTTCGTCGTTCAAAACCTCTTTCAGTCTTTTCAAATTCTTTTAACATTTGCAATATGCATCATTTTTCGTTTCGTTTCACTCCACTGAATTTTCTATCATAGAAGTGCTTGAGAAAGGGGAGCAACGACATTGAATTGCCTTACAATGATAGTTGATGCTTGGACTCATTCGAAATAACTCATCCACCAGCTTAACTTCTTGAAAATTATGAAGCATTCATTCATTTAAATTTTCGCATTTTTTTGTTAAAAAAATTCACTCCTGTTCTAACATTCTTCTTCCAACGTGCTATTGCAGGTAAGTTCGTCTTCGTTAGCCACAAGAATGATGTGTTTCCAAACCGCTCGACTCTTTATGTGAAAGCAAAAGGTGTTCTTTTTGTCCAGTGTTCGAAATCTATCTTCACCATACCAATCCAAGCCTTGATTTAGGCTCTTCGCTTTCGACGACATCCATCGCAGATATTTAGCAAAACATGAGTTTCTTGCGATGGGAGTAGAAAAGCATAAGCATATCAGCATATATGATGATCATCGGTCGTTTGATATTTGTCTAAAGATAGGCTTAACTATTTAAAATTTAACTGGCTCACAGAATGAACTTTAGACATATATGGCCGAAGATCGATGGCTTCTTGATATCTTTCATGTTGGTCTTGTTTCGCAAATGTATAGCAGAGTCCTATCGATAGATGCAGATGCTGACTTCAATGCTGACTTCAAATCTATTCCAAAATGGCCCGTGGGTAACCGAGTTCGTTCTACATATGAATGGATCCAAGGCTTATGAAAAAGCATTGAGCATTGAGATTTTTCATCGCTGAATCGTGTCACTGTACAATAAATTTCTTTTTTTTCATTATTTATTCGAAATTTCCCTTCACTATATGTTATAAAATTAGCAATTACCGTTACCAATTGTTCTTCGGCTGGCTTTTTTTGTAATATTGCTAAAGTATTATTCATTTTTCATATTCAAAATTTTCAAATCTGTTGATTCAGAAGTCATTTATTTGTTATTGATTGTCTCAAAGCATTGTTTAATGTAACAAGCTGGATCGCGTACGATTAGAATTTGAAATTTTGGTGAAAATTCAGTTAAAAAAGTTTTTTTTAAATCTTGCTTCACTGGCTGCAAATGGAATGGCTATTGTATTAGGGAGTCACCCCGTACCACCCGGTTTTTTTATTGACATGTTTATTCCTATTAGAGATAACGGCCAAACCGTGTTGCTCGAATCGATTATCAACAACTATTTGGTCAATCTTCCTCCAACCTTTCATCCAGTCTGACCACAAGTTCTTTTATGAAGCTGCACTTCTCTCAGTTTTCACTATTTTATTTAATTATGGTATTAATAATTATATCTAGCATTTTCATTTTTTTAAACTGTACTAAATAGAACAGAGCTATAATAGGCCTAATTGCTTTTTCAAGATTTTTTCTAGATCTAGAAATTTTTCTTTATAATTTTCTGACTTTATTCGCTTGAAAATAGTTTATTTACTGCAGAATTTCTCTCAATTTCGGGTATTAAACAACAAAAAAAATTAGAAAAATTTTTGGCTAGAAATTTGACAAAGCTAATTTAAAAAATTATATGTCTGATACAATTTTATCTGTACTTAAAATTCTCAAACCAAAAGTTTTAAAGTCTTTACATGTCAATTGGCTTAATCCTAGAAGATTATAGCTTCCTGCTTTCATTTAGATATCCATTCCTCATAAAAGTTTTCACAGTCACTATCTCAAGTTTTTGCAATCCACGCGTTATTCATGATTAATTCGGTCCAGTGAAAAATGATCATTGTTGAACGAAAGAATATCAGAGAAAAAGAATATCTTCTGAATAAAAAACTCCTGAAATTTTGCTCACTATTTCATTTCAGTCACATCAATCTGCTCTTGGAAATACGTTGCTATTTATAGTATAAGCATGTCTAAGCTATTCTCGTTAGCGGCTGTGTTGTTCATTTTCTCTATAATATTTATTATTTTATTATATCGTGTTGTGCTTCACTAAAACTAAGAAGGAATACATTATTCTTATTGCATTCGTCTAAAAGATATTCTTTTTAAAAGTATATTGTTCTTATCGTTTTATACCGTGCACTTGTAAGATAAGAGGAAATTCCAAATGGCACCAAAAAAATTAGCAACTGGTGGGGTCATTTCTAGTAATGATGTCAGCTGTTTAAATAAAACTATAGAGGATCTGAGATTGCAACTATCCTCTATTGCTGAAAAATATGAAAAGCAACAAAATCTAATTCTGCATTTGGCCAGATCTGTTGAAATACTTACAAAGGTCAACGAAGAACCTAAGAATGATACGATAATTTGTAAGCCTCGTCTTTGAATGGCAACTTTAAGTCTCCAAAAATCACAGCTGAACAAATATTGCAAACTATTGATGAATATTTCGAAAAAAAGGAAAAACAACCATGTCTAGCTGGCATAATGTGCAGAGAAATTTACGGATGACGAGACTGCTAATGCCGATAGGCTCTTAGCAGAGGATGCTGTAGCTGCAGCTGGGACCAAGACTGATTATATTAAGAAAGTTCGTCGACATGGAAGGAGTAGGTCAGGCAGGTCACGAGTGTTTAAGATTCGACTTGAAGATAAGTACATAGTTGTCTGTTTTGCGTAATAAGGATGTGCGCTCGATAATTCCTCGTAGAAGCTTTTTGCGGAAGGATTTAACGAAAAGGGAATTACTATTGCTAGACAAACAATTGCGGAAAGAATGTTATATGCGAAATCAGAGTCTCAATCTGAA